TCCCAGGTTTCAATAATGCCGCTGTATCACAAGCAAAACTTTGCTGGTTTTTGTTGTTTGACTTTTGTGCTCCATAAAAAGTCTGGGGAAATTAGGTTGCTTGTTTATAAACTTCTTTTTCCATCAAGTTCGGCCCTGAGTCGTAGCTTCGCAGTCTGGAGGGACACACCTCACAGGCCTGTGGGGATGGGTGAGAAAAATCTCAGCATTAGTGGAGGGACAGGAACAGAAACGAAGCCCAAGTGGTCGCCGCCTGTATGTAATGCCTGCCGGTCTTTAACAGCTCTCACGGTTAGGCTCTTCATTTTGCTTACAAACTGATTTACTATGTAAATACTGTTTTGAGAGGAATAATTTCACTGGCTTTAAATGAAACCTAATATAAAAGAAATAGTAACAACAAAAGTCTAGAGACAAATAAAAAACCGATCTCTCCCTTCTCCACCCTCCTGACCCACAGAAAGAGAGGGCTCTATGAGTTCACTGACCCTTCCATATTTCTAACCTGTGGTACTGTCCTCCAAAGGCTATACAAAATTCTCAAGAATTCTTCATTTGCTACCAAAGTAACTCAAAGCACACTAGTCGCCTTACATTTGAACGTGTTGCCCATATGGTTGTTAATGTGCTGGAAAGTTAGTTTTCACTGTGTAGTAATTAACTAATCTGAGACACTGGAAAACTCTTTCCTTGAACCTTACAGACCCTTGCTATCTGTGTCCTAGCCCATCACTCTGCCTCCATAACACACCAAAAGAAATAACAAAAGACCCATCAGAGATAAAGACTATGAGCAAAACTGTGGAGGAATTTAAAAACACATTTCCTCCTCTACAAGTATGGTGCTTTTGGTGCTATTTATTAAACTGAAAAAAATGGATTTGCCTGAATGCCTGGAGGTGTCAGAATAATAATAATAATGCCTTTTGTCTATCCCTCCTTTAGCTCACTGCAGCTAAAGCTAAGAGCAGGCAGTTTGTTGTTCTTGGTGAAGAAGGGTGGGGGTCAGAGATGTTGGACAGGCCTGAAAACCCTAAAAATATGACCAGTGACAAATCAATGCACTAGGCAGAAGGTTGGAGGAGTTATAATATTTTCCAATACATTTTTTATTTTATTTTATTTTTTAAAATCAACAGCATTTTGTGATTTATCAAGAGACTAAAGATTATGGATTATTTGGTAATTTATGGTTTTGTTATATTAGTTTTTATGTCACTTTGCAGTAAGTTAATCTTAAGTTAATCTTAACCAGAAACTGCATTTGCCTGTGACAGGGACTTGAATAAAAAGCCTGTAAAAATTATCCAAGGTCTTAGTTATATCAAGAGCATAGTTTAGGAAGCATTGAAATAAAAATTAGATTCCCCCACAAAAGAGAATTTTTAATTATTTTAGAGGAGTAAAACTTCTTTCTTTTTTTTTTATTTTCAGAGGGTCTTAACCCAGAGTTTATCTGGCCTCTTTATATCAAGAATGGCTCTGTTCCCCTTAAGATATTTCATACAGACCAAACCATACACTTAAAACTTGCCTTCCACCAGGATCTAAGGTTATAAATACTGCCTTTCCTTGGTTGGGAAGGGGAGGACCACTTAAATCATCAGCTCTGAACAAAAAAGGGTGGATTATAGGATTCTCCTAGAAAATCCAAAGAAACTATCACAGAGTTTCTCTTTTGCCATTAACAAAACAAACAAGGCTACTTTGCTTTCTTTTTAGTAAATTAAAAATTTTCAGTCTTAAACTATTTTAGAAGCTTCTTGATTTGCCGAATATACTCTGCTTTTATTGATTTGTCATTTTTAAATATGATTGGAAATAAAACAAAGTACTGGGCCGATTTGACAATAAGATGGAAGCCTTTTCTAAATACATTTTGCATTTTAAGTAAGACAAAGTCTTACTTAATGGAGATATTATTTAAAAATTAACTCATTTTTGGTTAGATTTTAAATGGAAAAATTAACAAACGTTGGAATATCAAGACCTGGACTTTTAAAGCATCTCTTCAGGCTTTAGGATTAGCAAACTCAGGGCTATCTCAAAGGAAGGGCATAATTGACATTTTGCCATATTTGTGTTAACTCAAATGACACTTTCAGACACTTGCCAAAAAGGCAAAGCTTGAAAAGACCGGTGAGAAGCAAACTGTTGAAATATTAACTAAATAAAACATATACACCCCTTAGCCAATATTTTTCCTTTTTAGTTTAGCGTACACCAAGGGAGAAATTTACCGAGGTCAAATAAAGGCTCTTTTGTGGTTCAGGAGAAGGGAGGGGGAGGGGAAGCAGGGGAGAGGGAGGGACACGCGACAAACGTAAAACAAACTGGTGCCATTCAGTTAAGAAGGCAGGTAACGCTCCAGAAGCCGGTGAGTTGTACAAGTCAGCTGGGCGTTCCAAAGCTTTCCAGAGCCGGGCTGTTTCGTGCTTCTTTGCTCTTTCCTTTCAACCTTGCCCTGTGACGGAGGAGTGCAGCAGGAGGGGGATTTTTCGCTATTGGGAAGAGGCAGGTAGGAAAGGGAACCTGATCCGCCCCAAAAGACAGCAATTAAAGTCTTAACCGCGACCCATCTGTCGTGGGACAGGGACCTCCCTTCCCCCAGCAAAGCCCGTCCCGCGCTCTTTGTCTGAGCAGAGAAAAGGAGGAGACAGATTCAGCGGCCCCAACAGCAAAAGAAAAAAAATTTCCACCCGGAGTGCCTGCGCCCCGGCCAAGGGAGGCTCCGAAGCGCCGTGCGGGGATGTAGCGCCTCTTTCCCAGCTCCGCCCAGGTGCTGCGCACTCGCCTCCTGCCCTTCTTCACCGCTGCATTTGCCCTCCCAGCCCGAAGCCACCCCAAGACCTGAAAAGGGGCACTCCCTGGCCTAGCTGCTTAGGCGGGTCGTATTCTGCCAGACCTCTCCCCCATCTGGCCCCTTGACCGCCTTCGACTTCCAATAGGACTCGCTCCTCCTCCCCCATTTCTTCAGCAAGTGAGTTTCTCCACCACTCACCCAGCCACCCTGCCTTGTGGTTAGGCATCCGGTCCGTTCCCGGCCCAAGCTGTCTCCGTTTCCAGCCCTCTTGGCTCGCGGGGCAGGGGCAAAACTGACTCTCGAGGAAAGCCAGAGTGGGAGTGGGGCTGAGGGGCCTGGGTCGCTGACCTGGCATGTGCTGGGAATGGGGTAGACAGGAGTGAGTACTTTGAGGTCCTCCGCTTGCGGTCCAACTCCGCATCTTTGGGAGAAATTGGGCAGGGACTCAACAATGCCAGGGTTTACAGTCCGCCTTTATCCAACCTTCCACTGCCAACCCTTTCCGGGGCTCTTGCAGAGGGACACCCACACCACGCTTGGTCTCATACCTGACACTCGCCACCACCCGTTCCACGCTCACCCACTCAGGGTTAACTCACCAGGCAGATGATACCTTGGGCTGCCGCGGGCGGCCGCTCACCCGGACGTCCAGGCCCCGTCGCCTTGTGCACGCAGCACTGCGCGCTCTCTAGCCTCCCAGCGTCAGGTCGCAGCCGCTGCGTTTTCCAACTTCATGCAGCCCTTCGTGCGCGCCTAACCCCGGGCCTCAGCTCCAGGTGATCTCAGGATTGCAAAGGACTGAGCCGAGGAAGGCGCGCGCCACTGCTACCCGCGCGCTCCGGACCGCGCCTGCCTGAGCGGCGGGAACCCGCACAGTCAGAGCCGCAGCTACTAACGTCTTCCCGGAATCCCGTACACTCGACCGCTCCGCCCCAGGAGTTTGGATCGAGAGGCCACACCAGGAGGGCGCCTGGCTGTGGAGCTTTGCAGGGGCATGGTCTCTATGCGCTCTTTGCTAGGCCCAAGTGTAGTTGCCGCCACCAGTCTGGCGCCGGCAGGTCGCTTTGCTGGCAGCTCCGCTGCGCGCAAGCACCGCGGCTGCTGCCAGCACTGCTTCGGGAAGCGCGCGGACTAGGGCAGCCAGGGTGGGATCAGTAAGTTCTGCTTCCCTTCTCCGCTAGGCATTCAGTATCTAAAATGCTCAGAGAGCTTTAGCTGAGCGCAGGTACTTAAGAAAGAAACGCTCTTTCAGGGCTCTCAGTGGAAACTCATGGAAGCAAGCGCGCGCGTGTAGTTGCATGTATCCTGGGTGGGGTCCGCTCTGAGTCAAGGTTTCTTGTGGTGTGATACCCGCTTATTCCTTGCAACTCCTCAACTTTGTGGATGGGAATGCGTCTTTCCCATGCCTATTGCCACGGGCATCGCCTTTACAAAACCACAAACACTTAACAAGCCTCCCAAGGCCTTTAATTCTCAGGGGCGTTTTGGGAGGCCAGTTACCTGCTGGCGTCTTCCAAATGGTCCAGACTGGGTTCCGGCCGCGGAGACTCCGGGATTCCGGGAGCGTGCAGCTCCCAGGCCTGGAGGAAGAAAGAGGGCCGCGGAGAAGGTGGCACAGCCAGGACCTGAGCCCAACTCTGGCCCAGCGGAACCAAGCAGGGAAAGCTTGGATTTCGCTGCTGGAAGCTTCCTGGCCAAGGCTTTCTGGAGCTTGGCGTTTAATAAATATAGCCTGGCGTTTGCCCCTGAATTAGACTCCGTTTCCTTATTTAGCCCTTGCACAATGATTTTAGATGATGTCACTTAGAGCTAAACGAGAAAATTGATCTCAGATTTGCTTGGCCTCTAAAGCCTGGTTAAACAGATTGAGAATTAGAAAGGAAGCAAAGGTGGGGGGGTGGAGGGTAGCGAAGTGTGCGCGGGAGAGTGTGTGCGGCGAGGGGAGGGCGCGCAGCGCGGTGGAGACCGCCCCCGCCTCTTCTGGGCGGGGGAACCTCACTCACCAATGAAAAGTAATCACTGACTGCAAAGAAAAAAAAAGTTTTTCTGTTGACTGTTGGAAGCGAATTGAGCAATTATCTAGTTTACCTTCTCCTCTTGGAAGTTAACGATTGGCGAGATCTTGGCTGCGTTATTGACACAACACTTTCTATTGATAGAAATAAGTAGTGATTGTCCCCGAGTCATTGGTGCGCCAAGAACTCTGCGATGGGCTGGCAGGAGTCCATTGGGCTGGGCAGGCAGGTTCGGCTGGTGATGCTGGGGAGAAGGAGGAGGAGGCTGCTGATGGTGATGGTGCCGGTCCCCCTCTTCGCAGGTCTGTGACAAGCAGGGAACGAGGCAACGACGGCGCAGCCCAGCTCTGGCTGACGGACGCCGGCGACTCAGACATGGACAGTAGCTGCCACAACGCGACCACCAAAATGTTAGCGACTGCTCCAGCCCGGGGCAACGTGATGGGCACATCCAAACCCTTGGCTTTCTCCATTGAACGAATCATGGCCCGCACCCCTGAGCCCAAGGCCCTGCCTGTCCCCCACTTCCTGCAGGGAGCCTTGCCCAAGGGGGACCCCAAGCACTCTCTGCATCTCAACTCGTCGATCCCCTGCATGATCCCCTTCGTGCCTGTGGCGTACGACACCAGCCCCAAGGCAGGAGTGACTGGCTCTGAGCCGCGGAAGGCGAGTCTGGAGGCCCCGGCGGCACCCGCGGCGGTGCCCTCCGCGCCAGCGTTCAGCTGCGGCGACCTGCTCAACTGCGCGCTGAGTCTGAAAGGCGACCTGGCCCGCGACGCGCTGCCGCTGCAGCAGTACAAGCTGGTAAGGCCGCGTGTGGTCAACCACTCTTCCTTCCACGCCATGGGCGCCCTGTGCTACCTGAACCGAGGTGACGGCCCGTGCCACCCGGCGGCCGGCGTGAACATCCACCCGGTGGCCTCCTACTTCCTCAGTTCCCCTTTGCACCCGCAGCCAAAAACGTATTTAGCCGAAAGAAATAAACTGGTGGTCCCAGCCGTGGAGAAGTACCCTTCGGGAGTAGCTTTCAAAGACCTGTCCGAGGCTCAGCTGCAGCATTACATGAAAGAAAGCGCCCAGCTTCTGTCGGAAAAAATCGGGTTCAAAACCTCGGACTTCAGCCGAGGCTCTCCTAATGCCAAGCCCAAAGTTTTCACTTGTGAAGTGTGCGGAAAGGCAAGTACTACGCGGAACAGAAACCTTTCCTTCCTCCTTTCCTTACCCTGTTTCCTTCCTTCTTTCCTCCCTTGCTCCCTCCCTTCCTTTTTAAAAAAATTTTATTTGGTGGTAATTATTTGTATACACTTGTTATAAGGTTATCTTCCCCCTTCGCTCCCCTTCCCTCCCTCTGCCGGGTTTGAAGTGCTTTGGCTAACTTGTTCTACGTATGTTTAATTTTAAGGTCTTTAACGCGCACTATAACTTAACCCGTCACATGCCGGTGCACACGGGAGCCAGACCCTTCGTTTGCAAAGTGTGTGGAAAGGGTTTCCGGCAAGCCAGCACCCTGTGCAGGCACAAGATCATTCACACACAGGTGTGTTCCTCTTTCTCAATTTCACTTGGTTTGCTACAGAACTGTTTGAAGTAGAAAAAAAAAAAAGGTCAATAAAGCCTTACTCTTTAGCATAAGATTTCTTTAAAAAGTGCTAGCTTAACAGGGGGAAATGCCATGTATTGTTTGCCTTTGTTCTGATTAAAAGCGTTAGAGCATTGCTGTGTTTTGAGTTTGCAGGACTTTACATAAAAACAAAATACTTTAAAGTATCTGTTTTCCCTCCCTCCTGCTTAGGAAAAACCTCACAAATGTAACCAGTGTGGCAAAGCATTTAATAGAAGTTCCACTTTAAACACTCATACCCGAATACACGCAGGCTACAAACCATTTGTGTGTGAATTCTGTGGCAAAGGATTTCATCAAAAAGGTATGGAACTCAAGAAATGTCTTTCATGGTAGCAGTACCGAAAACCATAGTTAATCTTTTTGAAACATTTTAGAAAACGATTTTTATGGTGTAGCTGGTTACGTGGTTCATTTGTTACCATTCAAACTCCCTGCCCGAAGTCTGATTAGTGTAAGAGAAATGCATGGCTCACATTCCAAGGGCACATATATTTCTAACCTCGTGTTCTCATTTTATGTAATTAGATTAGTGAATATGTATTAAAATGTAGAGGAAACTGCCTCACTGATGATGTGATATTTGAAAGTACACTTGGGTAGGTGAGTGCAGGTCCCGATAGCAGCCCTGCGCTGGCTGTGGGATCTCTAGCGGCTCTTCCACTTGCCTCGCTATGTTAGCTATGTTCGACGGGTCTGCTGCTGCTTTTTTTCAGAATCACATCCCTGTCATTTGTCTGTTTCAGGGAATTACAAAAACCACAAGTTGACCCACAGCGGGGAGAAGCAGTTCAAGTGCAATATCTGCAACAAGGCTTTCCATCAGGTTTACAACCTAACCTTCCACATGCACACCCACAACGACAAGAAGCCTTTCACCTGCCCCACGTGCGGCAAGGGCTTCTGCAGGAACTTTGACCTCAAGAAGCACGTCCGCAAGCTGCACGACAGCAGCCTGGGTCTGGCCCGCACGCCCGCTGGGGAACCCGGCACCGAGCCGCCGCCCCCGCTGCAGCAGCCACCGCCCGCGACGCTGCCGCCTTTACAGCCGCCGCTGCCACCCCCGGGGCCCTTGCAGCCCGGGCTCCACCAGGGCCACCAGTGATCAAGGCCAAGTTTCTTCCCAGCCCCAGCCGAGGCCCCAACTGCTGAGGCAACGACAAACTAGAGCTCCCACGCCAAGCTCGTCTGCAGAACGCAGGGCATGTTGGGCCCCACGCTTTAGGGCCGATCAGAAGCCTCTGCATTTCCCGGCCTTTTACCTCTTGCATGCACCTGCTAAATGGTTTTGTGTATTATATTCTATATAGGCACTCACAATTATGAGAAATTTGGAGGGTTTTGTTTTCTGGTTTTCTTTTTTTAATTTGGGAAGACTTTTCATCTCAGATGGAGAGATGATATTTGTTTTGTTGTTTTTTTAAACAAAATTTCTGCTATATTTATTGAGATCTGTATTATTCTACCCGGGAATGCTGCACCATCTTAATTTTATTATTGTATATATTTACCTTGTGTTAATTCTGCGGTCTCAAGATGCCTGCTGATTGTTTATTATCATTTCTTCTCCTCTGAAATAACAAAACACTGTGCGTATGTTACATGTACACGCATAGATGTGTGCGCCTCTAAAGGCACATTCCACATTCGTGAGCACACACACATACACATTAGATAAGGGTGGTTCATTATGGTTTGACTTGGAATTTTGGTTTTGATTCTTGCACGTGAAAATTGATTCATTGACTGTTGGAAATAAATACTTGGAACATGCTTATTTAATCAACAAACTTTAGGGCTTTGCTCATATTATTCAGCAGAGGAGTCCTAATTCTGACCCCTTCATCCAATCTCACTTTAAGAAAGTTCAACCATGGATTAGTAATACTTAATGCTTTGATCTGAAAATTCACCAAATACAAATAGCCTTTTCTAATAGTTATAGCTTTGGGTAAAGTTATGAAATCTGGTAACGTTAGGAAACAGAAGATGTGACATTTTTCTAACAGAAACATGAATTTGGCGTGGGCCATCTGATATGTTTGTAGTGCACAATTACATGGGAGCAACATATCTAGGGAGTGTGTGCAATATATTATTATACACCTCCACAAATGCATTACAATCATACCATGTAGACAGGTATCTATTGTTTGCATCCTAAAGACACACAATGACTTGTATACAGCTGGCAAAGAGAGCCCCCTGTTTTTATATGTGTGTATAAGTTTGTAGACGAATATACTTCCGTTCAAGGAGGAAACATGGATGAAAACCAAACTGTGGCGGGTGCCAGGTCCTTGAAATGCTTCAAGTGTTAATCAGCAGTTCTGCTGTGAGCTCTGGCTCTGGTGTTTTCTAACTGCAAGTCTCTCCTGTTTTCTTGCCAAAACAGTGAAACAACTGCTAAAGACTTTAATTACGAGGGGTAATTAGTTCAGATTTATCAAAGCCGGGTTGTTATACTATTAGCTGCTCAGTAGAAGCTGCCAGACACAGCCCAGCACAGTAGTCCCGCTGCAGCGGGGCCACATCCTGGGAGTGAGATTGGGGGGAGAGGGCCGCAGGGAGCCCCGCCTCGCCGCCGCGGTCCCCGCCGCCCCGCCTGGCCCGAGGTCGACTCTGGCAGCCCCGTCAGCCCGGTGGGTGCATCTCAGCGCCTCCCTCGGCCCACGCGCTCCCGCCGGAGCTGTAGTCGGTGGAGAATCCACCGTGGATCCAAGCAGCGGGCGCAGGTGTAGACAGCCTAAGGCTTTCCATCCTGCGCCCGGAGCAAGGCGGCCTCGCCACTCGCCAGGCCCGTGACCACCCCGAAGGTTGCGGGAGAGGCCCGGAGAACCAGTTTAAATTTGCAGTTGTGCCTTATTCCGTGCGTCCTGACGCGCCCAAGGAAAGGCAGGACCGAGGCCGGGATGAGCAGAGGACACTTCGGGGGCTCAGCGGCAATTTCTTTGAAATGTGGCCAAACTCACATTTCAAGGCGGGGAAGGATTGACGGTTCTGAGCGCTGAGAGAGAGTGACCTTGGGGGCTGCTGACAGCCCAGGAGGCTGGGAGGTGACCAACGGCCCCCGCTGGGTGATGGCGCGAGAGTTGGCCAGAGGGCCTCTGCAGCATCCTCGCAAAGTATCTCCTGGGTCGGGTTTGGAGAGAGATTGGGGCTGATCCCAAGATCCCGGGCGGGCACGGGGTGGGCGGGCAAAGTCATTGATAACAGGTGAGTCCTGACGCCAAGCGCTGACTTCAGGTCCAGACTTTCTCAGTGCTTGAGCCAGGACGCACGCCCTTCGGGCACTGGGGGCAAATTGCACCCCAGCCATTATTAGATCATCAATGTTTCTCTTCTCCTGACCTCCTTGCACCCCCACTTGTCCTTTGTTAAGGCCAAACCCATGTTAGATTTGACTACTGAAAAGTGATCGAGGATCTGGGAATTCCAGAGTAGGATGGATTCTGAATTCTTGAGGCCCACCAGAGCGCTCTCTCGCTGAACATCACAGCTGACTTGTCCCAGGCTCTCGCCACATTCCCTCACAGCAGTCCCTGGCGTCGAAGAAGTTTTGGGAAATAACCCAGAGTTCAGGAGTAATCACCTTTTTTGAGGTACTTTAGTCGGATCTTGAAAGCATTCAGGTTTGAGTAAGCAGAATGAGGCCAAGAGGCATTAAAACTTTCATCTTATATATTTAAGTTAAAGGGCAGAAAATGGCCTTTGCTCCTTGAATTTAGTCTCAATAAGTATTTGAACTTATTTTCAAAACCCAGGATGCAATTCTTCTAGAGATTTAAGGTGACACAATTTTACTGGTGGAAAACAAAATAAACATTGTTGAAAAATATTACTAAACCATGAAATACGTCCAGTTAGGGAGTATTTATATGTTTCTACCTCCTAACACATGACAGTGTGCTTTGACATATTGAAAATAAAAAGTCTTCCTTGGAAGAATAGAATTGCTCTTTGGCAATATATTATTGAAAGAGAGAGAGAGAGAGAGGAAGGAAGAGAAAGAAAGGAGAGGGGGACCGAGAGAGAGAGGAAGGAAGGAAAGAAGGAAGGAAGGAAGGAAGGAAGGAAGGAAGGAAGGAAGGAAGGAAGGAAGGAAGGAAGGAAGGAAGGCCGCCCAGAAAAGGAAAGGAAGAAGAGAAGGAAAGAGAGAGAGAAAAAAAGGAGGATGTGTTATTGTAATATAGAATGACTTTGTTATAGGTCTAATCTGTGATGGTACAATAGTTCAGTGAAGGCAGGCACAAGGAAATGGTTGTCTCTCTACTTTCAGGTTTGAACAGCCTGGAGTGTTGGTGATTAAGTAAAGGAGGCCAAAAGGAAATTCTCTAAAACTAAGCACTCAAGAGAATTACTTTTCCAGAGGAGAATTATCAATGAACTTTGATTTATGACAAAGCTATTAGAGCTTACTAAAAAACATCAAGGAGGAACTTCTTAAAGCAAGTATGAACTTAGGGATTAAATTTACAGGGGGGAAAATTGATGCAGTTGGACACTTAGCTAACAGTCAGTGGAAAACCTTTCAATTCTCCCCTCTCCAATAAGTATTGAAAAGTATTTTCCCCTTAACTGTCTAACCTCTGTATGTGTGTCTGTCTGTCTGTGTGCACTTACATAGATGTTTATGCTTGTTCATGAAACAGATATCCTAAAAATATGAATAGCAACTTGGCTTTGTCCCAGTCCACTTTCTTTTTGGCAGATGTTAACCAGCAAACTCTTTTATGTTTACTTAGGAAGAGACACTAGTGTCCAGGTTATCTGCCAAGGGAAATGGTTCATCTTCAATCCCTTCTGTTGGAATTAACTTTTGGTAAGGGGAAGATGGCCTTCCTCTGAGAAGGGCTGCAGGATGAGTTTTAGAAACTTCATGATTCACTGAGGCCTTAGGTTTAGTTCAGTTTTAGAAATCAGAATATAGAACAGAATTAACAATGTGAATAGTTAAGTCCTATCTATTTCATTTTAACACATAACCTAAATCCTGATTTCCAATAATCTATTCCTAAAGGTTGTAATTTGTGTGGACTTCCAAAATTTAGTGGAAGAACAAGTTATTATGTAAGAGTAGGACTATAAGGTGGAAATTTTTAGCAGTAAATGAAAAAATTATACATGGGCCTCATCAATGCAGTTACCGATCAGTGAGGTTCAGAGCTTATTGAGTTTCTTATGGAACTTTGTTCCTTTACAAATGTGGAAAACAATTAGTCCAAAAGATGCAATGGAGCCATACTTCCCAGAATGTGTACATCCTATTTATTGGATTTCCACCTTTTATTAGTGTCAGTTATCAATGTCAGAAATCATAATTTTGCTAGAACTGATGACAACTCAAAGCATTAACTAGGATGTAAGTGTAATAAGTAAGTTTTTTTCTTCATAAAGTATTTGTCCCAAAACATGCAATATAAAATATAATAACCTCAAATTCAAAATTGGGACAGAAACAAAAATGTTCTTTACCACTATTAACTCTTGCACTAGGTAAATCTTTGTTATTCATGGTTTATGATTTTAAGGGACCATGACTTATTCTGTTATGAGTTCATTTTTAAAAGCATTAAAATTGAAACCAAACTAAATTCCAATGGATAAGAATATGAAGCTGCTGGCTGTTGAGAGAAAAATAATTTTGAACCCAATAAAACATTGCCATTTTGCTAAAACCACAGATTACTCTTATACAAGAAGCTATATGTTTCTATTAGGTTAATTAAAAACTGAAAAATAAACTGTATTTTTAAGTAGAAGATACCTTGTAACAAATTTCATTGCTTCTAGGAATTAATGCATATGCCCATTCCAGTTCCAAGGCAAACTAAAAACATAGAGTGATATACCAATCAACACACTGGTCATTTGTCTACTCTTGGTGCTAAAGCAATTGCCAGTTCAAGCCAGACGAGATTATTTCACTCTGTGCAAAAGAGAAGAAGAGTCATTTAAATGACCTTGATAGGAAATTCTACTTCTGTTATCTGTTACATTTTTCTCCATATATTGTGACTTTTTCCCCTAGTGAGCTTTGAGGAAAAGTCAAAATTTATCATGCCATTGAATGGGCAAAAAGTTATTACAAAATCATGTACATTTTCTGTTCAAGATTGAGGTTATATTGGTGTCAAGTGAAATCATGTTGCTATTGGTCTTATGGAGATTTAAGTTACTAAGTAAAGATGAAATAAAATTCTTCAAATATAAGTCTTCAGGGTTAATATTTTGCTGTCAAACAAAGAAATGTTGCTCATGAGTACAAAGGTATGGAAATGGGGAGAAAGAGCATCAAGTATCACTTTCTAACTGGAGCTAGAAATCTATCACAAGATAAAGAACAGATCTCCAGTTTGATTTAACTCTATTCCTCTTGATAGGAATAATACAGACTTTTTGTGCGTGAGAAATCTGAAAGTTCAAACCACTGCATGGCCCTCTAGTCACAATAATAAATAAGATGATGTCTTTTGACAACCCACAATAGAAATGTAATTTATCAAATGTGAACCAAATCTGGAGTATGTGTCTTAGCTCAGGCTGCTGTAACAAAATATCATAGACTGGATGGCTTAAACAGCTGAAACTTATTTCTCACCATTCTGGAGGCTAGAAGTTTCAGATTGAGGTGCCAGCATGGTCTTGTTCTGGTGAGGGCTCTCTGGCTTGCAGACAACTGCCTTCTTGCTGGGCATTCATATGACCTCTTCCTTGTACCTACTAGGTGTAGGAGTAAGTGTGAGTGTTGAGTGTGTGTGTGTGTGTGTGTGTGAGAGAGAGA